CCTCTCTTTTCCTCTTTTCCTGGGGAACAGAGGAGAGCAGTAGAAAGTCTTCTTCTCTGAGACACTGTTTGTTCGTCTTCATCGTCGTCTTCATCAGAGCTTGGACAGAACACGGGCGACAGGTGAGTTCTAATGAGAACTTTTCACGTTCCTCACAGCAGGTCACTGTTTTCTTTATAAATTTCATGGATGAAGTCGTCGGTTCCGGCAGATCAGTGATGTCATCGGGATGTTCCGGCAGATTATCTGTGTGTGTTTGTGTGTGTGTGTGTAATGCCAAGACTTTTCCTTTCCCGGATTTTCTTTTCTACATAAATATTGTCACGGTGACAAACAACGAACTTTGATTGTGTTCAAACGCGACGACGAGGAGAAATGTGGATTTTCTCCTCATAAAAATGTAAGAGGTTTTTTTTTCACCTGTGGTTCTTGGTGGGTTCTGGAGAAGAAGCCACACTTCTGGAGTGTCAGGATTCTGACTGGGCTGATGATGTCATCACACGGGTTGATGATGTCATCACAGCAGGTTTGATGAGGTCTCCGTTGGTGCGGTCCAGTCCTGACCAGCCTCATCTGTTTGATCTGGAACTAAAACTATCAGTTCATAGTACCGATGTCTGACTACGTACTGAAGTATTTCTTAGATATGAAGTTACTAGAAGTATTCTAAATATTGTGTTAAAAGGTACTTTGAATCACAAATACTTTGAGTTGTTCTTTACAGTACTGCTGTTACACACACATACACACATTAGTGCTTTATTCTGCCTTCACAAGAGTTCACCCTGCAGGGTTGGAGCAGTAGGGGGGGTGTGGGGGGGGCAAGACTGTAAACCCCTCCCTCCCACACACACACACACACACAAACAGATCAGCTGATCCTCAAAATGTTAAAACCTCTTCAGATTTCATAAGAACATCTAAGAACCCGTTTGGACCAGTTTGTCGTCTTTGCTGTCTCACAGCGCCGACCTTCTGGTCCAGACTGGTCAGAGCAGCGCTAGATCCCAGAACCAAAAGTACTTGTAAGAACTGGTCCCACAAAGAAGGACAACTGGTGTGGGCGGAGCCTCTTAGTGATGTCATTGTTGCTCTCTTTCTCTTCTGCTCAGATCTGAAACATGTACCTGGAGAACAAGACTCACCTGGACATGGACATGTCTCAGACCTCCTCAGTCCACCAGACACGCAGCAGCCTGAGGTCATCAGAGGTCGTGGCGGGGAACTTTGGTGAACTGCGTCTGCTGCAGGACATCAGCGACAGGAAGGAGAGTCAGAAGCTGCAGCAGGCCTGTGTCCTCCACAACGACTCCTTTGGTCCTGTGTGTCAGGAGGACAGGTATGATGATGAAGATGAAGATGAAGATGACCGTTCTGGTTCAGTGCAGAGGACTTCTCTGCTGATGTTTGAGGCTCGTGGTGAAAACAAACGTGTGATGTGTGGCTGCGTGAACACGTTTCATGTTGGTCTCGTGTGGAGGTTCAGAGATTATCCTTCAGTCTGTGCCGTCACCTGAACCACAGCCTTCTGGGAATGTTAGCCTCACGTGCACAGTCACATTACACACGCAGCGCTGCACAAAGCTGCAGCAGAATGTATGTGATCATCGGTCAAACACACTGACACACACACACACACACACACATAATCTCAGACATGTGGTTATGATGTCATTCAGATTAAAACATTTCAGTCGCAACAAAAGTCGACAAACCCTTTGATTTTAGCACAGCAGCTGCTAGTCCACTGCTGCCTCCTGTGGCCTGTTTATGTCACTGAGGTAAATCTGGACAAACCAGAGTGAAGGAAACTCTTAAAGGATTAAAAAAAGTTTGATTGATTTATGGACTTTGTTCTGAACTAAAATCACTGATTTTCTCAGAGTGTTCTCAAAGAATTCTTCGTTTTCGTTTTCCTCTTCAGCTTCACTTCGGTCAGTTTTCTGAGAGGAAAATCGAATTCTGCCAACCTGACGGAGCGCTCGCCTCTGCTGCGATTCTCTCAGGACGACAGGTGAGTCGTCACGGGGCGTCTATTTCGTATATAATAGATTTTATCTTCACATCCTTTACTTGAATTATTTAGTCATTTCTATTTTTAATGAAATAAAAATGTATTTCATCATATATTTCTATTTTTGGGCCTTTTATTTTTAGCCTCTGATTGATCATGAATCTCGTTGATTTTTGATGATTCTTTCTCTTGTTGAGCGTGCCTTTCGTTTGGCTAACTCTTAGCTTGCCTCTGACTCTGAATCTAGTATCACCTACATGACCTTACATAACTCAGAGGAACCGTGGGACAACGGCTTCCTGGACGTGGAGAGACGGTACCGATTAGGCAGTGAGGTCACCAGTCTGTCCTTGTCTCGCTCTGGTTCCTCAGAGAAGAACGAGTCTCTGGAACTGAATCTGAACTTCAGACTCACCAGCAGCCTCAGGTCTCACACACACACACACACACACACACACACACAGTTATTCTGAGCTGTTCTTTGTTCAGTTTGTGGATATATAGAGTTAGAGATATATAAGTCCAACCAGACAAAGAAAGAGACCAAATGAAAAGTGACCTCACATCAATCTTCTCTGATGAAGAAAATCCTGTTGATTTTTTTTAGATGTTGCTTCAAAATCTCCAAAATCACCACCATCTTCACGGTGGTCTTTCTGTGCAGTGTGAGTATGACTTAAGGCTGAAATACTGCCACCTCCTGGACAGGAACGAGAATGGGACATGTGATTATTCTGATTGTGCCTGTTGTTTCAGCTCTTCTTCAGTATGTATCCAGACAGAGAAAAACCCTGGAGGATGTTTGCAGTTTCCTCCACAGACACTTTTAGTATCCTCTACATAAAACCAACAGCTCTGGTTATTTTCCCTTCTTCTTTTTATCTGTCAATCTTATTTTAAGTCTTTTGTACTTTTAGGACTAGCACTGTTACAGGAAACAAAATCTCTGATTTTCTCCATGGACTTTGGTCTGAACTAAAATCACTTATCGATCATCTAAAATGACAGTGCCGTTGTTCAGATCCTGCTGTGGTGAAGCAGGAAGTGATGTCATCATATTTTCCTTGACCCTGGCTCAGTCATGAACCTAACGGACTTCAGGGACAACGCTCTGTTGAAGCTCCAGGTGGGGGGGCCGTTTAGCAGTGGGATGATGATGGACATCAACAGTCAACAGGAGTTTGTCCTGATCCAGGTGGAACAGACGGAGGAGGCGGGGCCAAGGCGTCGCAGGTCGCAGCAGGTGAGAAAGTGTCATCATCTGAGAGAGGAACCACTTTCCTGTGTCTAATATATAATATATAATATATCATATATAATATATCATATATATGTGTGTTTGTGTTGAACAGGTTCTTTATAACTGGACTCTTCCTGTGAACAGTGAACGCAGTGAGCAGATGTTGGAGACCAGAACCTTTGAGATGATCAGCAGGTTCATCCGTCGCTCATTCATTCACTCACTGACGCTAACGAAGCCAACGCTCCGATGTCTGAAGCTAACGTTCTGATGCCCCTTGCTCCCCCGTCTCCCCCCGTCTCCCTCCCCTCTCACAGTGAGCCCGTGGTCATCACTGTCCAGGCTTTCCTGCGGGACAACGACGTAGTTCCTCTGTCCATGACGCACCAGTCGCTCTACGTGCGTGTGGAGACGCAGGTGGCCATGGCGGGAGTCATACTGGCGGGAGTTTACGTCCTGATCATCTTTGAGGTGGAGGGTTCTTTAAATGTACACACCAAACCTCATAGACAAAACCAGTGATTTTAGCGGCGGCTCCACATATTTGAACACGTGTAATCGTGAACTCACAGTTTTCAGCTTGTACTTTCTTTTCGATCAGATCGTCCACCGTACCTTGGCGGCCATGTTGGGATCATTAGCTGCTCTCTGTGCCCTGGCCATCATCGGTGATGTAAGTGTTCGTCTTCAGTCGTCACAGAAATAATGAGCGTTCTTTTCTCCTGGAAAGTCTTGATGATCTGGTTCTTGGTTTGGTCAGAGACCCAGTCTGGTCACGGTGGTGGAGTGGATCGACTTTGAGACTTTAGCTCTTCTCTTTGGAATGGTGAGGAGAAACAGTCGCCTGTTCATCCTTAAATCACAGTATCATCAGCGTCAGCCATGACCTGCTTTTTCCCTCCACACAGATGATCCTGGTGGCCGTCTTTTCAGAGACTGGATTTTTTGACTATTGTGCTGTGAAGGTGAGAGCAACACACAACGATGCTAACAAGTTAGCCAAGAAAATCAGCAAGAATCGTTAGCAATTAGAGCAATGATCACACCATACAACTAACAGGCAGCTAACTCTGTCTGTGGTCTGTCCGTGGTCTGTCTGTGTTCTGTCCGTGGTCTGTCTGGGGTCTGTCCGTGGTCTGTCCGCGGTCTGTCTGTGGTCTGTCCGTAGTCTGTCTGTGGTCTGTCCGTAGTCTGTCTGTGGTCTGTCCGTGTTCTGTCTGTGGTCTGTCTGTGCTCTCTCCGTGCTCTGTCTGTGGTCTGTCTGTGGTCTGTCCGTGGTCTGGTCTGTCCTCAGGCCTACCACCTGTCCCGGGGCAGAGTCTGGCCCATGATCATCATCCTGTGTCTGATCGCTGCTCTTCTCTCAGCGTTTCTGGACAACGTCACCACCATGATGCTGTTCACACCTGTCACCATCAGGTTCAACATTCACACCTGTTCACACTGTTGTTTTCACACCTGTTCACACCTGTTCACACCTGTTCACACCTGTTCACACCTCCCCTCAGGTTGTGTGAGGTTCTGAACCTGGATCCTCGTCACGTCCTCATCGCTGAGGTCATCTTCACCAACATCGGAGGAGCAGCTACAGCCGTAGGAGATCCTCCCAACGTCATCATCGTCTCCAACCAGGCGCTACGCAGACAGGTGTGTGTCTCCCCCACAGCCTCACCCGCCGCCTCACCCGCCGCCTCACCCACAGCCTCCCCCCACCCCCCCCCCCACCCCCCCCCCCACCCCCCCCCCCCCCACCACCACCACCACCACCACCTGCTGAAGCTCCACATCCTGATTCACACACATTCAGCCTTGTGGCACTGCCGCACACACACACACCCACACACACACACA